GGCTACAACTGTAGCTGCCTCCACCAGTGTGTGAATGTGAGAGTGAATGAATAGTGGAATTGTAAAGCACTTTGGGTGCCTAGAAAAGTGCTATATAAATGCAATCCATTATTATTATTATTTTTAAACAGAGACAAAAATAAGTGTACTTTTGCTTAATATACTTTTCTGATTTTGACAAGATCTAAAACTTGACAGTCAGCATATGTAAGATTGCACTCCCAATAGGTATAAGATTAAAGCTAATCATTATTAATAACTCTATGCTTTTGTCTTTTGAATCTGTGTATCCCATTTTACTATATACTATATTCAGTTACAGAAAAAAAAAGGAAAATACACTCTTAATTACTGCAACAGGAAAAGATTAAATCAAAGAACTGGCAAATGACAATTCTGTAAACAAGTCAGCCACTTACAGCATTTCTTGGCAGCGTCCACGCAGAGGTTCTCAGCAGTGTAGTGGCCTTTTGGGTATTTCAGTGGGTCAATGTCAGGTCTGTAAAAGTGGATTTCCAGGCCTTTAATGGAAGCAGGTGAGGAAGAAGTCTGGGGTTTCCTAGGTTTCCTCATCTTCAAACAGAGTTGCCTGCCCAACTCCATCGCGTACAAAGTTGGCATTCAGACCCTAAAGGAAAAAAAAAAAACAGAAAAAAGGGGGTAGGGGTAGGAAGTGGGAATGTTAGAATCACATTTGGAAATTCTTTACATTTTGGTCTGTGGAGAGCAAAACTGTGAAAATTTACTGTGCTGACAGAATGAAGAACAGGCAACTCATACAAGCTTCATGTACCACAGGTTCCTAATGATTATTTCCTGTTTCTAGTTGAGGAACAGATATTTTGCATCCTCTGCCACTGTCAGGGATCACATATTCAAACTATAACATTTAATCTAATTAATATTTTAGTTATTTTTTAATGTGTTACTCTGTACATATTTTAATATACACTTTTTGTTCTCTGGCAGCTCTAATGCTATAACATTGTGACCATAGTCACATGATAACTCATTGAAAACTCAATTATATTCAATATTCTACTAATGGTCATAGGTTTTCAAACTTTAGTTCTTCCTACTTAGTTGTATTGCCTTAAAGGAAGTTCACTATCTTAAACTAATTACTAAATAAAATCATTATAAGCTTGAGAGCACCACAAGAACTAACTTTGCAGTTACTTAACAGTCATTCCCATTACAGCATAAGTAATTATAACGTTATTGAACACAACAGCAACCTGGGCTTAAAGACAGCCAGTCAAGACGAACCGCTCAAGTTCAAAGTGAAAAAAGGTGATTTAAGTGGCATGTAGGGCTGGGCTATATCATACCGTTCACGGTAATACCGGTGTAATGTTGGGCAACGATCAGAAAATGAAATATCGTGATAGAATATGGGTGAAGCGCACATGCGCAGTGCCTTTGTTTACATACGCACATGGCGGCGACGCAGAATGAAAAGAGCAAAAGTGGATCGTTGAATGAAACGGATGAACCAGAATTGGTTTGTAAAAATGCTGCAACTTCAGTGGTGTGGAACTGGTTTGGCTTTCGTCTGTCAGATACACAACAAAGCACTATTTTTGGTAGCGCATGCTAGCGGGCCGTCGTTATTACCGTGTTTTTTTGGAAAATACGGCACACTTAAAATCAATCCTTTGATTTTTCTGAAAATCGACAGTGCCCCTTATAATCCCGTGTGCCTTATGTATGAATTCTGATTGTGTTTACTGACCTGGAAACGATTTTATGTGGAACACGGCGCTCGAAATGTTTCAGTACGACTTTGCTAAGCTACAAAGCCGCACCGCTTGATGGATTGTCGGAGCAGGAGCATTACGGCTATCGTAGGCAGGTGCCTCGCGGAGTGATACGTACTGCGCTTCAACATAATATTACCGCATTGTGTGTGTATACCCTCTTTTTAAGTTTTGAGGATATTATACATGGTTATGCTGAGGATGTGTCGGCCAATTTCCACTGGAAATGCCTTTTGGTTAAACTGTCAGCAAGGAATTTGCATTTGCACTGTTACATTTGCATATAAAAAACAACTGCTTGTTTAAGTGAAAATACATTGATGGGGTTTTTTGCACTAATAAAGTTGTGGAGTTGTAAAGTATTTTACGATATAATTGTCTAATGTCAATTATATCGTCAGTTATATCGTTATCGCAAATTTTCAAATGTATATCGTGATAAATATTTTTGGTTATATCGCCCTGCTCTAGTGGCATGGATGTTTGTATCACATAGGCTGACAATTACTTATATTCAACAGAACCATGTCTATGGTTTACAGAAAAAATATCCATTGAGTGGCAGTTCTGCAGAAGTGTCTTGTAGTTGTCAGTGTTGATTGGCCAGACTGCTTCGATTTGATGGGAAGGCAACGGTAACTAAAATAAAAACATATTACAACCAAGGTATGTAGAAGAGCATACTCTGAAGAGCAACATGTGAAACCTTGAAGCTGACAGGCTAAAGCAGCAGAAGACCATAATGGGCACCACTCCTGTAAGCTAAGAACAGGAAACTGAGGCTACAATTCACAGGGCTCACCAAACCTGGACAATAGGAAATTGGGAAAATGCTGTCTGGTCTTGTGAGCTTTTATTTGTCCTGCAACTTCCAGATGGTTGGGTCATAATTTGGAAAACCTTCCATTCTGCCTTAAACCAAAGATTCAGGCTGCTGCTGCTGCTAGTGGTGGTGTGGGGGATATTTTCTTAGTGCACTTAGGGGTCATTATTACCAACTGATCATTGTTCAAATACCACAGTCTACCTGAGTATTGTTGCTGTCCATCCCTGTATATACCACCATGTATGCATTTCATTTAGATTTCCCAAACATGAAAATGAGATCACTGTAAACAAATGCCATTCACAGCTACTAGTAGGTCTCAACCCAATAGAGCATTTTTGGGATGTGGTGGAACGGAAGATTTGCAATCAACTGTTCTGCAATAGTGGAGTGATGCAATCATGTCAATAAGAACAAACAACTCTGAGGAATTTTTCTAGCACCTTGTTGAAATCATGCCTATCATAATAAGATGTGCTGAACAGAACAGGTTAGGTTTAGGATTTAAAATGTAAGTGTCACATTTTCACCAATTCTTTTTTTGAACAACATGGTCTACGTGCTATATAGATTATTTAATGTTGGCAGAGTCCAGGAGAACCACTACTATGACATGTTCTTTACATCTTCAAACAGGACAACACTTTCTCACTCTCACTACAGAAGCAGACCAACAAACCAAGAGAGTATGTGTTTTAAGACCCCAGAGAGCCACGAGATTTGAAATCACAGCACTTTCTAGCAGATTCCCGTACAGCAAGTGGGGAAGGGCTTTAGCCATGCAATGCTTAAGTCAAGTGCGCATACGTCAACCAGCATGCAGCCTGTTTCAGTTGCTCCTGCTTTTTCTCTTTACTTGCACTTTTTTTCTTATTTATTTCTTTGTCCTTTACTTAGTACTTAGAGTGTTTGTCTACATAATTTCCTCAGTGATTATTAAAGTATTCTGATTCTCAGTTTTTCACCACAAGAACTTCTGCTCCCAACATACACAATTAACAAAACAATTAACTATTATTCAGCATGGAATACAACACACTTCTAAATAAAATATTGCATAAAAGCCCAGGCACGGGAGCAACAATTATTGGAAAAAAGACAAACAAACTTGAATTTAACCTTAAAGACTGAATTAAGCCTCACTTGACAAATTAAGAACAAAGAGGTCATCAGGAGCAAAACACATAATAATATTTGGTTTCTGGAATTTGCTGCCAATACTTCACGTATACGCCATGATGAGCTTGAGCAACTTTGAGTTTTTTTGTTTACCAAGAGATATCAACATCCTGCAGGAAGCTGACATTCCAGCAATCCCACCTCACCACAATTCAGCACCCAGCTTAGGCACACAGCAGTACATAACTAGCCTTGTTCTCAGTTAACTCAGTTTTCTGTATTGATACAATTAAAAAATGACTGTATTGCTGCATTTATCAACTATGCTGCACATTTTTCCCTGCATGCTCTCGTTTCAGAGTCATTCGTTAATCATATTTCTTTGTTTTTTTGTTGTAGCATTAAAAATAAATATTTAACATTTAATTGCGTTTGTTTATCTATTTACGTCTCAGTCTCTTTGTAGCCTCTATTTAGAGAACATTTCCCTTATAAAGTTTATTTTAGCTACTTAAAAGAGAAAAACAAATTGCCACTAGGTGTGAATGTGCGAGTGAATGTGAGTGCAAATGGTTGTCTGTCCCTGTGTGTTGGCCCTGCGACAGACTGGCGACCTGTCCAGGGTGTACCCCGCCTCTCGCCCTATGACAGCTGGGATAGGCTCCAGCGCCCCCTGCGACCCTGAAAAGGATAAGCGGAAGCAAATGGATGGATGGATGGAAAAGAGAAAAACTTTCATTTATTAATCATTCTATGGCTACACTTCATAACGCTGACCTCCTAACGCTATATATCCCTATCAAGCTCATTTCCGTATATATTACTGTTATTATTATTGGTGGTGGTGTTTAATAATTCCACTCAATGCCATATCCCCCACATTAAGCTTGTTTCCCTACACCAGCTCCTCATCTAGCACTTATCATTTCTCATCACTTTTCATCACTGTTACAGCTGAATTTCTTAAGAAGAGAATTTCAATGACTCTTTTTATTTGTAACTCAGGCAGTGTTCCTCTGAGCACTGAGTGTGTGAATGTGAGAGTGAATGAACAGTGGAACAGTAAAGCGCTTTGGGTGCCTAGAAAAGCGATATATATATATATATATATGCAATCCATTATTATTATTATTACTTCAGTTATCATCAGTACTTTAGAAAGTCACTATCCCTTTTTTGTTTCATATTAACATGTAAAAATGCATAAGATGTATTTATGAGAAATACATTTTACAACAAACAAAGTTCATCCTAATGATAAACACAGTTTATCATGAAGTTTATCATAAAGCAAACACAAATGACGTGGCAGCAAACTTGTGACACCAGTTCGATGAGACTTTTGCAATGATTACGCCACTACTTTCCACAGCAGTTGAAAAAACAAATTGTTAAGAGCTGGTTCCCTCGGTAACTTCATGGCTACATTATGTCTGAAGCATTTTTTTTTTCACCGAACAAAACAAGACCTTGAAAGAGTTTATGATGTTACAATTGTCTGACAGTAAAAGCTGAATTTTCTGAGGTGTAGGTAAAATTAAAAGTCTTAACAAAAGTCAGAACAAAGAATGCCTCTACTTGTGCCCACATTTTCATAGAAAAAAAGACAGAATGTGTTGCCTTGAAGCTGCAAGAGTGGATGTATTAGTCACCACCAGCCTTGTTGTTAATGTTCCCCTGTGATGTTCTGCAGACAGGAGTCATACTTGACACAAGCACTGTAGCCCTAACCTTTCTCAACATTATCCATTATCCATCTTTGTGTGACAATGCAAAAGTCAAAACCAATCCCATTAAACTGCCATTAACCTCCCAACCCAAATACAAAGTCCAATTGTGAGTGTGTGCCCAAGTGTAACAATAAAGCAAGTAACAGTTCTTTTTTTCCAGCATTTCTAATAGTAACACATTTAAAGGAAACTATATTGTTCACTACACTGAGAAAGGAAAACTTTGAGCAATGCCCTGATATGATTCATGTGTGAAAACCACTAGCAATATATCTGCAAACTGCTTGACGGGACTCCTCTAACTGCAATTCAGGTTCTTATTCTATTGGAGAAGTGTAAGAAGTGAGTTCTATTCACGTTGTATCAGCTATTGACGAGTTCTGTTGAATGCGGAAAATGATGAGGCAATGTAGTTAAGATATTTGTTAGAAAACTTAACATCTGTCCACTAGTTGCCATTTTTGGTGTTTCTGAGGACGCCACCCCAAACCTTAGTCGTAAGCAACTGGATATTATCGCTTTCACTTCACTGCTGGCGTGGCGTCGAATTTTGCTGTCTTGGAAAGCCCTCACCCTCCAGCCCGATCACGTTGGCTGGAAGATGTTATGTTCTTTTAAAAAATGGAGAAAATAAAATTTAGACTCAGAGGAAATGTTAATAAGTTCTCACAGATGTGGCAGCCTTTTATCATTTACTTTAACTCATTGAAAACACTTACAACAGACTGAACTTTTGTACCATGGGGTTCCCTTTTGTTATGGTTTTGGGAGGGAGTTGATTTCTAAAAATTTTTGTTTTGTGTGGGGTTTTTTTGTTGTTGTTGTTTTCTATGCGTGGGTTATTGTTTTTTTTGTTTTTCTTCCTTTTTTCCTTTTTTTTTTTCTTTTTTCTGTTTTATTGTTATCATCCAAATTTTAATGGCCTAATTTGTTTTGATATATGTCTTTATATCGGTTGGTACTTGCTGTATTGGGCCTGATATGTCAAATTACATGTGCAAAACTTTATAAATAAAGAGGGGGGAAAAAAAGAAAAGTTAACGTCAAGACATGCTCAGCATGTGATGCATGCTTTGCTACCTGTGCTCAAAGTATTACAAACAACAGAGTTGGAGGTGGACAAACTATGGGATGAAACCATTTCCTGATCTCCCCAAGTATATGTTGTAAAAACGAAAAACACTTTTCCCACCGACATCCTTATGTTTGTGATATGTCCACACAGGTCAACATAATACAGACACAGGCTACACATGTTTTTACGTTCCTATAAACTCAATTACATTTGAAATGTTTTGTGGACCACTTAGGCAGAGTAGGGTGCTAAATGCACGCTTTACATTACTGTATAATTTACAGTTCATGCATTAACCATCCACAATGAATCCAAAATGATGAAATCACTGGTCACTTTTCCCTAACTACTGAAAACTAAGACTGTCCGATTTAAAATGGATTTAAATATGGATTAAAAGCACCATGGGGATAAATTCATGTGAATATCAAGAAAGTGAAAATGGAAAAAAAAAGAGCTTTTTTCCCCCTATGACATTCTGCTGTTGCATACATGTACTATAGCTGCATTCAAGCAAGCACAGGTGTTTATGAGTTTTATGGAGTGCAATTAAAATGTTACTTGGATTATCAGATGGAACTCCAGTGCTACACATGCAAATAAGACCATAGCCTACATTGTCAGTGTTTGCAAAGACCAAAATCCAAAGTCCTTCATGGGACAAATTTTGTAAACCAGTGCTTGCCAGTAGACTGCTGGAACCAACCTATTATATCAGAATCAAACTAAAGGAAGTCAAATGGTCCTACCTGTGACTGAGAACACAGGCCACACAATTGCCTTCCCTAGTCTGGGCCTCACACCCCACCGGATGATGTGGTTTCTCTCACCATCTCAATACCTTTTCTTTCTTCTTTTTTTTTCTGCTTCAGTTGAATTTTATTCAAATGTCAAGTACATTCAGTGCCCAAGACAAGTTGGACAAGTTTTTTTAAAGGGAACCTATTCAGCTCATTTGCAGTTTACAGTTGGCTCTACAAAGTAGCTTTGCTTCATAGTTCAAAATAATGATAATAATATCCATCTTATTTTGGGGATCCCCTATGTTTATCCTGTCAGTAAAAAAAAAATCCTTTTTAGCTTCTCACCCATTTCATTATGGGTTTATAATCAGCTCAAATGATTAATCAGTTACCAAATAATTGGTCTACTGATCAACAACTTTTAGCTATAGCTCAATTACAGTTTAATTATTAATGCTGTAAGAGCAAGAAGTACTGGGTTCTGACAGCAGTATTAATCCATTATAGGGTCTAAGGAAAGTCAAGCAATTAAAAGATCGTTTAAGTGGTGCCCAATTCTACGAAAGACTTAAATTTTACTTTCTGTTTCAGATGACTCACATTCAATCCGTTACTTTTGTTATAATCATATGACTTGTGTCTAAGCCACAACACAATGAGTCAAAAGATAAAAGTATTTTCATAGACTGTTCATTAACCTGGCTCTGTTTTATTTTCTGTTAACTTATGGAAGCATGACAAAGTGATTGGATGGCAAGGGATACAGACTTTGTTTTTATTATAGGTTAGTTATTATTTTTGAATCCTATGTTATGTAGTTTAGAAGGTGAAAAAAATACATTCCAGACCACAATTATAAACATTTATCAGTATGGAATTAATAGAATTAAATCTTTACCATACAGTACCTGCACTTAAGATTTCAGAAGAAACTAATAATAAGACTTTAAAACAGAAAAGAAGTAGGTAATGAGTGAAAGTAAACTTAAAACAAAAAGGAAAAAAAAGAAGGACCATTTTGTAACAATTTTTAATTAGGTATCAATAATGTGTTACATAAGTGTCTCACTTAAATAACAATACAGAGAAACTCAAATATGGTCAAGCATTACCATCAAAGGTACCACTTAGCTATCAGGAGAAAAAGTCATCATAACGTGCTCTTTGATGTCAAATATCAGGGTGAATACCAAAAGGTGGGCATACCGAGATCAACGACATCAAAGTAAAGTTCAACTGTGATCACGTTTCCATATGTATGCACATTAAAAAATGTCATCAATAATCTTTTTGAATTACACTAATCTATTAATCATTTTTGGTTATCATTGTAGATAAATCTGCTGCTTGTTCAATCAGATCAATAAATTTCGACCAAAAGTACCGCTGGGGAAAAGCTCTAGGAACTATATTCTAATTAATGTTCAACATGAAATTTTAGGAAGTCGTGATAACGTTGGAAACCTTTTTCTGCCTCTTTGGTTATGTGTTTTTCTGTGTGCTGTGGATCAAAAAAAAAAAACAAGTGCCCACCTCTGTCAGCCTCAAAGCCACTTACCTTTCACTGCTTGGCTTTATTTTACTTAATGTGACATTTCCAGCCTGAAAGAGGCGTTTATTTTCACTTAGTGTCACTGGACCAAAGGCTTCTGCGTCAGTTAATTGTCTGGTCTACTGTGTGGGTTATACAAAACGTCAAAAATCGTGGGAAAGACCCATCACGAGTTCCCAGAATCCAAGCTAAATGTCTTGTTTACAACAATGAAAACAACAACAACAAAACAACGGCAGTGGCATAAATCACAAACAGGAAAATAGAAATAATCACATTTGAAAAGATAAAACTAGTGGCTTTGTCATTTTGATATAAAAAAGAAAGAAAGAAAAGAAACGGTTTTTTAAACGTATAGATTTGATTTTTAAAGCCAATAAACTGATCAGTCGACTGTAGTGTACTAATTTCATGTGGAGGATACAAAATTAATCCCACATGTGTTTGTTCTCTTCTAATGAATACAATTCATAAAAATGCCGAAGCCAATCATTTTATGTAATTCTGCCTTTTCTGTGTTAGTCACCTCTGGGTCCACTTTGTCAGATACAAATCCTGAGATTAACCATTATTACCAAATCCTTTATAACAATCCTAAACACAGAGTATCCATGTCAATCTAATCCACGATTTTCCTTGACATGTTGTTAAATGTTTAATGGAACATAACCAGACTCTTTTTGTATATTACGGTAAATCGGATTACATAAATTGTGTAATACATATGCTAATAATTTGTCCTCGCTTTCCTTAAGCCTACTCATCCTTCAGCGTATTTCTGTATTGTTTAAATAATATAATTATAGTTTGACCCATCTTCCTGTATTGTGACAGGGACAATGGAGGCGGTGTCATTCCTATCAAGTGCATTGACGTTGGTTAACGTGAGCATGCTAGCTAGTAAGTTAACTTAGATGGCCAAAGAAAAGCCCAACACCAACATCTTTACTCTTGGCAGCATCGGAGAATGATGATAAACGACAGGATGTGTTTAACAGACCAGAAGACGTGCTCTGTGTTCGACGGAAATATTTAATAAACGGTTATTTACTCACCTACCAAGCTTGGCCAGACAGCTGGCAAGTTACTTCCGTTTCGTTTTGTACATTAGACGCGTCGACCAAGTCGGTGCGCTTTCTCTAAAAGCTTCGTGAGTATCAGATGTTGTATATTAATTCCAAAACGTCCCAAAAAAGTATAAATATCCCGAAGAAAAGCGGTGCGAAGTTAATTCCACAGTTTCCCCCGTTAGTATACGGTATTTTTTTTAGCGGAGGAGAAAACAGCCTTCCTCGACTCTAGTTCTAACCCTTCCTGACAAGAAACGTCCCCTTCCCGAAAACGACGCAGTGGCTGGCGGTAAAAGCCGGCAGCTGATTGGCTGTGAGACCTTTCACTGGAGATGACGACACAAGTCCGTGAGCGGCGATAAACATAAATTAAACTGTTATTCACACTTTCTGAGCATTGTGGATTACAGCCGCAGATTTAGCTTAAACGACTTGATGATGATGATGATGATACAGAAAGAAAAAAAAACTCAAGTAAAATTAAACAATGAACTGATGTATTTATTAACTGCATTTAATATCTTCGATGCAAAAATCCCAAGGAATGTCAGTAATGTAAGTGACATTGCAAAAGTAAAACCCAGCTTTCACTCATCCACTTTCTTATCCGCTTACAACTATGGAAGACGCATTTAGATTCTCCATCTAAGAACCAATACAACACTGTAAAATTAGTCCATTACAAGCCATGCGTTTAAAGCCTCTTATAGGTTAAGTGAATGAGCAAAGATTTATATAAAAAAGAAAGATTGGGAAATATATTAAAGTATTCAAACTCATCATTCATTACTTGTAACTGCTGTGCTCCAGCAATTAGAGCAGATGGAACTACCTACAACTAACTAGCTAGCTAGCTAGCTAAAGCTGTGCCCACCCCCTACACACACACACACACACACACACACACACACACACACACTTTTTTAAAAAAATAATAAGGTAGACTTTTAACTAATTATTCTCCAAAATGGTCATTTAGCTGAGACACACCTTTAAGGGGCTAATCAAAACGCTGGTTTGATATTCAACAGTGTGTTTTTTCCCCAAAAAACTCTGGCTGGTCTCTAATGAAACAAAAATCTAAGTTACTACAAAAGCACGTAATGGGGCAAAAGTACAAGTAGAAGCAGAGTAAATACATAAAGTATTTACTTGTGAAATGTAGCGAATGAGAAGGAGACAGGTGTAACAGTGAAAATGCATGATGTGGTGTAAGTGAAGGTGGATAAGATTAAATAACTGAGGTTGACCATTCAAAGGAACAGAGTGCACAAGAGAGGTGAAGCCAGTGGAGATGCGTGTTGGGTGATATGCAAAAAGAAGGCTAGAAGCAAGAGAAAAAAAGGAAGGTTTACAAGATGGTTGTGGGACCAGTGATGTAATGATTGGAGGCAGTGGCAATGATGAAGATGTTAAAATCTTTACCCAGAGTGAGCAGGATGGACAAGATAAGAAATTAATACATTATAAGGACGTTAGAGAGGCAAGGCTGAGATGATTTGGGGGTGTGCAGAAGATTGATTTGCCAGGCAGGAGTTAAAGAAAAGGGCATCACAGAGTAGATTTGTGGATGTACATGGAAGAAGGATAAAAGGATGAAGGCTAAGATGGAGACAGGCACGAGGCTTGCTGCCATTCAGAACATTTATCTCCAGCGATCCCTCCGTAAAGCACACAGCATCATCAAGGACCACAGCCACCCAGCACATCAGCTGTTCTCCTTGTTACCATCTGGCAGACGTTACAGGAGTCTGTCTGCTCGGACTACAAGACTTAAAAACAGTTTTTACCACCAAGCCATACGACACCTCAACCACAACACTTAAACACACACAACACAGCACTCAGAAGCTACCCTGCAGCTTCACAAGTACTCTGTTTAAATCTGCACTGGTCACTTCACTTTATTGTTATTGATATTTATATTTAAAAGTGCAATACTGTAATTTTCTGCTGTTCATTCCTGTGCAATATCCCATCTACCCTCCCGTCATATTTCTTTTCAAGATTTTCTTATTTAATCACTAGTGTACATATATTTATATTTATACATACATATATATTTAGTCATCTTTTCTCTTTTACCATGTCTCTCTAATATTTTGCTCCTTACTATTTTTCTATTTTTTTATTATTTTATTTTATTTTATTATATTTTATTACATTTTCTCCTACTGTATCATGCTGCTGAGTGACTGCTGCTCGTCAAACACATTTCATTGCAATGTTGACCCTGTGCTAACTTGCATATGACAAATAAATAATAAATAAAACTGAACTGAGACAGTCTGCTGTGGCAGCCATTACAGGAACAGCTGAAAGAAGAAGAAGAAGGAGGAGGAGGAGGAGGAGGAGGGAGGGCAAAGAGGAGGAGAATTAATAGAAGTGTATCAACACTGATGTTTTTGATTTCATAACTCAGTTGATGACACTTTGCTCAAAAATACTTTATTTTATTTAAGTTCAGAGTTGAATTGAGAATATTAAGGGGGTATCCTTAATATTCTCAATTCAACTCTGAACTTAAATACTATAAATGACACTATAATAATAATAAAAATAAACCCTTAAGAACACAATAAGGAGACTGCCCCAATCCCCTTCACTGAGTCCCGGATTCAAGGTCCATGATGAGCACTCAGTGTTCATTTTAGAGTTAAATCCCTCGACAAAACAAAGAAAATAGAAAATAGAAAACCAAAAGCTTGGCGTTCTGAGAATCACTGATCTCTTGAATTCATTCATTTCACTGTAAAGCCCACTTTCAGAGGCTTAGTTTCCATCACTCCTGCTACTCATATTGCCAGATTTCTCGTCTGCATTGCTTGTGATTAGCTATATTTGAGTTTAGTCATCTTTAGCTGAAACTTGATGTGAGCACTGGAGAACATCCTGACTTCAGCAGAAAAGCTGAGATGTACAGTAAGCTATGTAAAGCTACTGCTGTGGTACAGACGGCAAGGCTTATCGTTCCATCTTTGCCTTTCTGTAGGTGGCACTTTCTTCTAGACCGCTATTTTCAGATTGTGTTTCCAGAATATTGCTTGCATTAATATCCCAGTTTTTTCTTGTAACTAACACCAAGGGGCCGAATGCTGTTTTCTTTTGATTGTGGTTTGTTCACAGCCTCTCTGTCTGTGCATTCCCATACCAAAGAAATACCTGCAAGCTATGGATGTCACTTCATTCCCTTTGCAAGCACTTCCCCTTATCTGTTTTCCTTCAGGTGTAGCTGCAATCATCTGACTGGCAGCTGGCATGTGTGCCAGCTCTGTGATTACACAAAGAGTAACTCAAACATGGTTTACATGTAAAATCATGTGTCCTACAATTGTAACTAGTGAGAAAGGCTTCCTTGGAAGGTACAGAATCCAGGAAGTGTGCAGAAATGTGTGAGTAACTGTCTTCTTAGAGCTAAGAATCAGCGAGTCATCGTCTCTGGGTGATATCAGCACTCAGAGAAAAATGGAGTTTCCCTGCTGAGTGCAGACAAAGGATCAAACAGCAATACTGGGTGATTGTGTGCAGATACTGATATGTGTTTCAGAATTTTTAAACTGCACTGTCACGAGTGTCCCTGTAAACACAGACACTGACTTTAAGCCCCTCTGTGTAGCATTTATAATGGGTTTAGAACTCACAAACTCAAATGTAGAAATGCATTTGCAGCTATAAGGAGAGTTTAAGCGAGTAATGATAGAGTTTGTCCTATGGAGACATATTTTTATGGTTTATTCACAGCACAAAGCTCCACTTGTGTGGCTAGAATGCAATTGCATTTACAGGACATCAAATGTTACTCTAGTGCACATGAATGCTAAAAATGCAGCAGCAGAAAGCGTAGCCAAAGTAGGCTTATCTCGACCTTTTCCCCTCACATTAATGAAACTGTGAGAGTTGGCTTCACAGCAGCAGTTATCAGCCGTGAGTTACCTGAACTACTGATGCAACACTGTCTGAGATGGGGATCAGAGTTGATAAAAAGAAGAAAGAAGAAGAATTTCTTTCTGCAACAACAAAGGGAGAAAGGAAAGCTCCTGAAAGACGTCTTTTTTAAAGTATGTGGCTCATATGAAGGGGGGAATTCCCTCGGCACATCCAAGCAAGCGCAATTACTGCCACATATTAAAGGAAGTATGAGGAGAAATTCCCTCATGGTGGAGGGTCATGGGAAGACGCTGTCCTCGTCTCGAAAGCGACTTTAAATGTTTTTTTTGTTTGTTTTTATTTTAGTTTTTTTTTTGTTGTTGCGTATTTTGTTATCAAAACACAGCCTTGCCACAATGCAGCACGTATAGCTCCGAGTGAGAAAAACACGCGACTCGAGGCGGGATTTAGCAGATTGAGGTTAACGTGAGAGAAAAACAAAATAAGTATCATGACTCTTCAGGGGCTTTCCGCAGCTTCAGCGACAGCATGTACCCTTTACATACGAAGGACAGGTGCAGAGTGACCCCGCGGTTTATCAGACATGACTCAAACAGTGCTTACATTATTCAAAATAGTATGTTCCGAAAAAAAAGAACTGCGATTCATTTTTTTTGGAGCGAACTGCCATCGATAGATCGCAAATTACAGCGCAACTGTGAGCAAACTGAGTCACCAAAACAACAACTCGGTAGTTCGTACTAAAATGGATGCTCGCTCAAAGCCGTTGTGTTGTTATTCACGCAGTATAATGGAAGGAAGGAGTAGTCTCCGTCTATTAGCAAAACTGGATGACTGAGCAAAAACAAAACAACAACAAAACCCCACACTTTCATGTCATTTCACGTCTTCCATGACTCACTAGAAGTGAACCCGGCTTTAGTCCAGAGGAATTCAGCAGCAGTTCTTTACTTTATAAGGGTTCACAAACGGATTACACAACATAGAAACATTTGTGTGCTTCTGCTTCAACCACACCACAAAGCGCTATAATAATACTAGTAATAAGACTACTAATAATGGATCTGTAGCGACCCCTGTTGGCAGCAATGTGAAACTAGTTGCCACCAGCTTTTCCAGATCGGGACCAAATACAGCTTCTTCTACTTGAGCTGTTATTTTTAATCACTCTCAAATGATCAAGCAATGCAAAGCTCGTTCATATTAAGGTGATGAATAAGAGGCATTCATGCTTCCAGTCTTTTAAATGCTTATTAGACCTTTATGGTCTAATAAAACTGAGTTTGTGCTTATGAATTCCAGAAGAAGGCTAAACTGCAGGATTCATTTGTTTTGGGTGTGTTAAGTAAGTACAATGCGTCTGTTT